CCGGTAAAATATGCACGGAACCCGAATCCATCCTTGAAGCAGTCCACCAGTACTTCCAGACGCAGGCCGCCCCCATTGGCCCCCCGAAGACCGGACGGTACCGACCCGAGGAAACCCCTCGAGCGTACCCATTTCTGCAGAGTGCCGCCCCAGACACGTTCTCCCTTACCAGCCCGAAACAGGCCGCGGACCACGTCCTGCTTAGCAGCGTCGCTGACCCTTTTAACTTTAACAAGTGTGTCCAACACCTGGCCCGCAATAAAACACCGGGACCCGATGGGATACCTAACGAGCTACTGAGAGCATTGCCCACTGCCTTACAGTCCACCATCCACGACCTCCTGAAAGTCATGTGGGCCCAGGCCCGCACGCCAAAGCAATGGACTGAATCTGTTACGGTCCTTTTACCAAAAGCAGGAGATGCGCTCCTCCTGAACAACAAGCGACCCATTGCCCTCGCCAACACTCTTTATAAGTTATGGACTAGCCTCGTCACAGTGTCCATCGGGGACGTCGCTCCCGAACTAGCGTTGTTTAGCGAGGCGCAAGAAGGGTTCCTCCGGTACAGAAACACGGAACGGCAAATCCAAAACCTGCTCCACGTCATTGAGGATGCTGGGCTCACACGCAAAGATCTCTACCTGTTATACGTCGACTTCTCCTCGGCATTCAACACCATCAACCACGACCTGCTGCTACAGATCATGTACGACCTAGGGCTACCCGAGGACCTCATCTATGTCGTACGGGATCTGTACAGCCAAGCGCGGACCACTATACAGACAGAACACGGCCTCACAGCGCCAATAATGATCGAACGAGGCACAGTACAGGGGGACACGCTCTCGCCGGTGCTATTCATTATTTTCCTCGAACCACTCCTCCGATGGCTCCACGCTGGCGGACGAGGGTACAAGTACGGCTGCCTCCCCGACAGCTTGAACGCCAGGTACCATGGAAGCTCAGCCGCTTACGCCGACGACCTCACCGTGATGACCAACAGCGCACAAGACCTACAAATACAATGCGACAAGATCAGCTTGTACTCGAAATGGGCGG